CCGTTTAAAAAAGGGTGATTAGGTTCTTGTGAGAGTTGCAATAAATTAATTTGTAACAATATTTCACGTTTTATACGTTAAATTGAACAGCTGTCAGAACGTCTGGCAACGTTGCACACTTGATCATGCATATTATACGTTAATTTTGCGCGCTAAATTTTAAAATGTTGATTCTGATAGCACGTATAAAATACGTTATATTTAAAAAGAAAATAAAAGTTAATAAATAAAATTGATTATACATTTTTAAAATTAAATTAAAGTTAATTAAATAGAGGGATAATTGTTTTATTAAAGTAAACAAGTCATAAAGCAACCATTTGCAACTCGACTGACGTAATGTGGTGTTGCCAGACGTTTCACAGTACCGAGAAAGTCAAATCATAAAATAATGGTTTCTGTTTTGATTTATTCAGTCAATCCCTATAACCTCCTTAATCGACTCAAAATTGAACGAATTTTTTTCAGATATTTTGGTAATAGTACAATTGCGGAGACCATTTCACTATTTAATTTGAAAATGAAAATAACAGAAAATCAAAGACAATGTGCAATTCGATAATTAAAAAGTGACAGCTTATAAACATAACCTAAAATGCATGAGAAAAAATTTGTCGATAAAATCAATATAGCCGAGCTTTTTAGAAGGTATCTACTCTCTTAATTTGAATCAGTGAAATTTCACTGGTGAAATAGCTAGAAGTCGGTTACTGAATCATTTAGTGAAATTTTCACTGAAAATCAGTCATATATCACTGATTTCCAGTAAAAATTTCACTAAATGAATCAGTCAATCTGTATTATCGGTAATGGGTAAAACAGATTGACTGATTCATTTAGTAAAATTTTCACTGGAAATCAGTGATATATGACTGATTTTCAGTGAAAATTTCACTAAATGATTCAGTAACCGACTTCCAGCTATTTTACCAGTGAAATTTCACTGATTCAAATTAAGAGAGTACCAGACCTGGTATCTACCATTTTCTCTTTCACTCATCTATTTTCTTTCTTTAAATTTTTTCTGAATCGTTTTTATAAAAAACAAAACTGCCATCTACCTTCTAACAAGCTCGGCTATATTGATTTTATCGACAAATTTTTTCTCATGCATTTTAGGTTATGTTTATAAGCTGTCACTTTTTAATTATCGAATTGCACATTGTCTTTGATTTTCTGTTATTTTCATTTTCAAATTAAATAGTGAAATGGTCTCCGCAATTGTACTATTACCAAAATATCTGAAAAAAATTCGTTCAATTTTGAGTCGATTCAATTCGGCCATGATTGATATAAATTGATTAAATTTTTTGCATCAAAAAATGAGACCGTTTCGTGTATCATTTCTAAAAATGATACACAAAACGATCTCTTTTTGATATAACTTATGTGCATCAAAACGTTGCAACAGAAAAAGATACAACCAAGTTTACTGTGTACCTTTTTTTTGGTGTACTCGATTCCGGACAACCAATAATATATAAATTCAAACGGGAATCTGTTCATAACGGTTTATTCTAGGCAATAAACCTAAAAAACGATTAAAAATTTTTTTTTTTATTTTTCATGTACATTTACTTCCCCCTAAAAAAAATTTTTTTTTAATATACAGTCAAACTTCGAACACGGACGAATTTGTGAACTGACAAAACTCTTACTCAGACGAGTTTACGAGTTACTGATGAAAAATACACAGAGAAAAATGAAAATTGAGATTTCGGACTGAGTATAGAACAATTGGAATAATTTCTATTACCGTAGGAATAAATAGAAAATTTTAGGTCTCTATCCCAAGAAGTTTAGTAATGATTAACAATTAAAATGAATTCTAAACATCTTAAAAAACGCTATTTTTCTTTAAATGAGTGCTATCAATTTCTGTAATTTGTTTTAACTCGTAAAGGAATTACTGTGAAATAAATTTTGAGGAAATTTCTTGTAGTTTTTATTAATCAACAAATTATTCTATTTATTTGTTATTGTGAATTTTGATCATTTTATTCTTATTTAATTATTCTATTTAGAAGTATCAAACAGTCTCTGAAATTCTTTGGCAAGGAGAGACCTTTAATTATCGCCTTATAAAAACGGTACTGAACGTGAAAAAGATAAACATTGATTTTAAAATACTTTTTTCTCGAAACATAGACACTTTTTACAAAATCGGCAAAAATACCAAGGATTCTTATCTTATAAATTTCTTAAATTTAAAAGATTGTGCGAATTTATATAAAAACACGATTACAAAACGAAAAATAGGAAAGTAATGACAGGTTCATTACGTCCTGCTGCCGTCAGATGTCATGAGCATGCAGGGAGCACAAAGTCGCTGCTGTTATTATATTACTTTCCTATTTTTCGTTTTGTAATCGTGTTTTTATATGAATTCGCACAATCTTTTAAATTTAAGAAATTTATAAGATAAGAATCCTTGGTGTTTTTGCCGATTTTGTAAAAAGTGTCCATGTTTTGAGAAAAAAGTATTTTAAAATCAGTGTTTATCATTTTCATGTTTAGTGCCGTTTTTATAGGGCGATAATTAAAGGTCTCTCATCTCCAAAGAATGTCAGAGAACATACGACACTTAATAAAAAAAAATAATAATTATGAAAATCATAAATTGTAATTGTCGCTGATAACAAATCTGTATGTTACTTTTTGAAAATTTTAATGGAGAAACCAATATACAGAGGGGCATAAACATAAAACTTGTAATCTTGTTCCTTTAAAAAACCTAGTTGCATTCACTAGTAAAAATTTTTACCCAGAGCAATTTTGATTTTGAATTTTCTTTACATTTTTTTTTATTTGTTTCTTTCAATTTTTTTCATTTTAATATTTATTTCTTTTCAAATAAATGAAAATGTAGAATTTCGACTTTTATTGGTAAGTTTGGAAAAAAACTTGACAGTCAAAAAATTGACCTTGTTTATAGGTAGTGTTATCGATAGAACAGATTTCACGCGTGAAATAAATGTATTTCTTGGAAAAAGTTATACTGATCCCATTTTGAAGCTTACAGAATCCCTAGAGATAAATATAATATATATATATATATACTTCTACCATAAAAAATATGGACGAAATAATGTATTTTTTTCAAAAATCTAAAATTATATTTTCTGATATTCTTTTTTTTAAAAGAATAATTTTTTAAAAAAATTTACTTTAAGGCTACAAGAAACATCGTTCTTCTACTCATTTTCTATAATTTAACGCAAAAATGATAAAATTGAAGCAGGAAATAGTAAACTAATGTGTTTTTTCCTAGTCCAAAATCTTTTTTCATTTTAGAGAAAGTTTGGTTCCCACATAAAAATAATAATTTAAGAAAAAAAAAATGGACATTCTATGCAAAATTTTATCACCTTTAATTTAAAAAAAAGTTTGTAAATCGACTCTTCGCTCGAACCGCACGCGCTCATAGCATTAACTATTAATAATAACAAATTATTATAATAACTATTTTAAATTGTTATTTTTTATATTAACATTTTACTCTTTATATTTTATTATCCAACGAATTTCTTCAAATATTATAAAATATATATTTATTTGTATTTGTTTTTACCAAAATTGAATGAAATTATTGGTTAAAATATAGTTTATTTGATTCAAATATATTTTTTCAGTGTAAGAAAAATAATTTGAAAACTTCATTAATTATGTATTTTTTTTATTAAAAAGTTTTAATATTAAATTTAAATTTTATAATTCCATTAACGAACGCATTGCAGTAAACGAAAAGAAATATTAAAATAATTTTAAAAAAATATATGTAAATTTAATTTCTAACCAACAAAAATACACAATTTTCACGTCTATGAAGTTGGCGTCGATGCTTAACGTCGAAAATTATTTTTTCACTGGACCAAAACTAACAAATCATTTTTAAAAAAGTTTTGGGTTCACATTATACCTTAAAAAGTATTTCTTATTTAGACCGAAAATCTTTAGAAAAAAATAATTTGAAATTTTTGGTCCTGTGAAAACTAATTTTCGGCGCTGAGCGTCAACGCCAATTTCATGGAGGTCAATTTTGATAATTTTTCTGGATACTGGCATTCGCTATTGAATTAATACTGACCGAGTACTGGTTTGCCATTACTGTCTCAATAATACTGGCACAGTACAGTGGAACCTCGATTATTCGAACTAATCTAGGCAACGCCGGGTTCGGATAATCGAAAATTCAGATAATAGAGATTTTAATTTTTTTTTTTATAATTAAAGTAAAAAAATGTACAGTTGAACTATATATTTAACTTAATACATATGTTTTTAAATATACATAAGTATATACATATATTTAAATATAAATTAATTTATAATATATTAAAAACTCAGAAAATTCGGAAATTTTTAAGATTTTTTTGGCATAAATTTGGTTATTTTGTTTTGAAAGATAGCATCTATTCGTTTTTTAGATGCCAAATTACGCATTCTTCTCAGAAATGAATGAATGATAAAATAAATAGAGAAAATAAAATTTAAAATTCGGGAGACCAAAAAATAGTTCGGATAAAATATTTTTCGGTTCGGATATAATAGAGGGATCGGATAATAGAGGTTCGGATAATCGAGGTTCCACAGTATTGGAAAAAATACTGGCATGCCGGTATTGGCTTGCAGTATTGGCATAGTACAGAATTTAATCCATATCAGTACTGAACCAATACTGGTAAGTCAACTGTCGGCCAGTCAGTATTGGTGCATGATTGCGCCTGTTGTCAATATCGGCGTTTGACAGAAATTTTTGCTTGGGTACTATTCAAGTAACATTTTACCATCTAAAGATTCCTCTTAGTTGTTGATAACCTTTTTTTTACAAAAGAGGTAATTTAAAAAATTTGTTTTATTAAAAGTTTTTTCAAAATAGGAAAATTTGCGAGGGCTTATTTTAAACATGACAACATGGGGAAATTTCTGCACTGATTACTGTGTATAAACTTAAAAATTTAAATAATATTATATATGTATATATATATTGTTCAACTAACCAGCCTGTGCGGCATTTCCGTCATGGTCGCAAAAGACCGGAAGTACCAGGGTTGGAGAACCGTGGTAAGCAGCTTCATGAAGCGACAGCAGGCCACCGTGGGATACAAATGCACGTAATTTGGGATGTCCCAAAAGTTCTTGTTGAGGCCACCAAGCACCAGTTCTGACGTTTGGCGGTAGATCTTTAATCTTACCACCTTCCCATTTCCAAACGACATTGAATGGCAGGGTTGAGAAGGCTGCCACAAACATCGATCGAAGAGCCTCCGGCATTCCGGATGCTCGGACGGACGAACCCATTGAAACGAAGATAAATCCTAAAAAGTTTTTTTTTTTTTTTATTTCTTCTTCTTTATATACACTTTTTCCTAGACAGACTTTATATAAGACCGAGAGGTAAACTTTCTGCTACAATGCTATTCCATTTATAAAAAAGTGATTTTTTAAAGTCCACGTTGGCAAGCTTTTCAATATTTATCTTCTTTTCATGTAAAAGAAAAAGAAGAAAATGAATACAGATGATGAGAGTTGGTTTATTTTAAAAATATGAAACAAGTATATATTTCAGTGACGAAGTTTCTTGAGTTTTAATTTGAGTCATTTGCGCAAATTTTTATGTTTCGGTTTTGATAAAATTACTCAATAGTATAGGTGAGCTGGAAACTGGTTGTAATAGCGGTAAATTGTAACATATTATTTTTACAAAAATTTTCGATTTTAATTAACTAAAAAAAATTCCATTAATTTTGGAAAAAAATATTTTTTATGTGTTTCTATATGTCATTAAAATTGTCTAATTAAAAAAAAACAACCATTTGGTCAGTTCTCTACGCTATTAAAATTTTCTAGTTTAAAAAAATTATTTAGTTTTTCTTTGCAATTAAAATGTACAAAATAATTATTATTAACATATATAACAAATATTTCTGTATATTGTATGTAATATTGTATATTGTAGATTTTTTCTTTTTTCTACGTTTTAGGTAATTAAAAAAAAAATTACCCCTGTAAATTTTTTATTCGTATAACAACTTTTCTATTAAAAAATTGTTTTTTTTTTTTTAATTTCTATTCAAACGATGACTTTTGGCCTGACTCAATAACTTTTTTTCCACTGAAAATGTGAATTTTGTCTGACTTGGCGCTCTTTTTCTACTTAAAATATTGCTTTCATTTGATTACACACGCGTCAGCTTTTAATAAAATTTTTCTTTTAGTCTTTTTACAAATTCATACAGAAAATTTTTTTATTTAAATTAAATAGAAAATATAAAAAATATTTTAAAAAACTATATAAAATATAAAAATATAATATAAAATTAATTTGAATTAAATGTAAAACTATATTTATATCAGAGGTAAATAATTATTTATTTTGTTTCAAATAAAAAGTTTCTTTGACAGAAATAAATTTTCAAATTCATCTGCAGTTAAATCTACAATTCCAATCATAGTAAAATATTATTATTTCAGTTTTTTTTTTTTGTTTTTACTTATTTTATTTTTTGTTAATTTTTTTCATTCTAAGTTTTAAATAGTACATGTGCAATCCAGGTAGTTTAATTTTGTATATAAGCCCGTTTATTAATGTAAATAAATAAATTCAAATCTAAATATTTGAATTAAAAAAAATTGTTTATTTGAAATCAATATTTGATATATATATATATATATATATATATATATATATATATATATATATATATAGAAACAATTATATTTTTTTTCTCTATAGATTTAGTGTAATATAACATTTTAATTTTTTTCTGACAAAATAACATATGAGGCATTTCATATGAGAATACGGGGTCATGTCTCGGATTTTTCTCAAAATTCGATAAATTGTAGTGATAGTGGTGCTAAATAAGTGTACAAATTTTGAATTTGAAATTTTTAATATTTTTCGAGATATTTACAATAACAAATTTGAGCAATATTTTTTTGCTTTAGTTATAACTTTTTTCCTATTAAAAATAGAGAAAAATGTTGTAAATGTTTTTTATGCAAAAGATCTTAAACTTTTAGAAAAAAATTATTTTTAAAAAAAATATTAATTTTTAAACAATTTGTTTAAAAAATAAAATTTGTTTATAACATTTACAACATTTACAACATTTTTCTCTATAATTTTTAATAGGACAAAAGTTATAACTAAAGCAAAAAAATATTGCTCAAATTTGTTATTGTAAATATCTCGAAAAATATTAAAAATTTCAAATTCAAAATTTGTACACTTATTTAGCACCACTATCACTACAATTTATTGAATTTTGAGAAAAATCCGAGACATGACCCCGTATTCTCATATGAAATGCCTCATATAACACTAAACAAAGATTTTTTTTTTTTTAAAAAGAAATTTAAAGTTTAATATAATATGTATACATATCTGTTACTTAGAAAAAAGAATTCTTAATTTAAATATAGAGATTTGTTTCAGCGATTTTATTTAATTTAGAACACAGTTTGTAACTTTTATTTTAATGTATAAAAAATATCTATTTCATTTAAAAATATTTGTTTTTTAGAATGAAAATTATATGTTTGATTTAACTTAAAGGTTATTTTACAAAGTGGGCTTGTAAATTAAAAAATTTTCCTAGAAATTCGAGTAGAACGTCCGAAATATGTCATATCTTTATATTTTTTTCATACCTGCCTCACCCTGCTTTTCTCTATTCTAATTCCCCGCTCTGTATTGAAAAAAACTACCCTATCCCTGCAAAGTGTCACAATTCGGATGTTCCACTCATTATTTTATATTTTTTGTCAATAAGAATGTTCGGAGATGAAAATGAAATATATTTTATCAACAACAATATATTATTGAATTAAAGTTAAATATGTTTGACTATATAGCAAAGCTATACTAAGTTTGAATTAACCACAATAAAGGTTGAACAAAAAATATCGTTTTCTCAGTTTGTAATTTTATAATATAAAGTATAAATAAGGTTCTGAATATTCTACATAGTAAGTTAGAATTTCTAATAAGAAGCTTATATTTAAGCTTAGGGTATTAAAATATGTAGCGTGAAAACTCTATTTAGATATTATATATTTAAAATGTTGAAATGTTTATACAATAAAATATTGTTGTTTAAATATTTAGATGTGTATATAAAACAATATTTATACAAAGCTCTATTAACTCACCTCGTCTAAGAAAAGATTCTAATTCAGGACTTAACTGCATGGCTGGTCTGCAGTGAAGGCACGCTACGTTAACCACATTTGACAAATTGGGAACAGAATCAGCTACAGAATAGTGATTATTTTGCAATGTTAATGGTACCTCTGAAACAAGATCCCTCACGTCTGGGACTTGATCTCCTATAAAATTGTATTAATATATTATTTCAAAATAATTCACAGAAAATATTTAGTTTTTTTAGTTTCTAAAAAATTCAAAATCTCTGATCCAATATGATGAGCCAAAAGTTCTAAACGCTCAAATGAACGAAATATCTTTTTCAATCTAAAAATTATTAAAAATTACGATGGTCAATTAAATATGGTATTTGTTTTAAATACATAATTTAATTATTGTTTCCAAATAAAGAAATTATTGATACAAATAAAGTTTATTTAATTCAAATAAAAATTATGAGGGTATTTTATTTGATAAATAACACAGAAAATTAAAAGGCATTAAAATAAGCTGCAACGCTTATTATTTTAATCCAATTTTGCTTATTTTAATCCATTTTGGTATTAAAATAAGTAAAATTGGATTAAAATAATAAGCGTTGCAACTTATTTTAATGCCTTTTAATTTTCTGTGAACCGATTATTTGAAACACATTTATACACATTTATAAGTACCGATATATGTAATTTATAAATTAATAAATTTAATAAAATAATTTTATATGCGCTTCAATTTGAATCTCGCAAAATGAAGCATAATTTTAATGTTACTAAAATTATAACAAAGGTCATTTGTATAGGTATTCATTTTGTAATGAACATTTATAATTAAACTAATTTGGCTTCCTCTTGTAATATTGTAATACCAAAAATTTTCACATTCAATTTTAAATCTCGGCATTTCTCTGCAACTTTTCACTTTGCAATAAATAAAAAGTTTTTTCATTATAATTTTTTTTCTAAATTTAATTTTGGAAATTTTTTTTTATATTCTTATTCTCACTTTCACTTTAAATTTTGAATTTTTTTTTTTTTTACTTTTCCACTCCCAGCATTCTCATTTTCTTATTCAGAAATTTTGTTTTGACTTTTTACTCTCATTTTTATTAAAATTTATTACATTTTTTTTATCATATTTGAATTTTTGAACCTTTTAATTTGGACCAATTAACATTAAGATATATAGAAAAACTTTTTTACCGACCGTCAGTCTTTTTATGTCGCGATTTTTTAAGAGATGTTCATTTTTTCAGGTTGGCAACAAATTTCCTAGGAGCATAATAAACAACGCCATCGACGCCATTTTATTCATACTGTTTCTTGAGATCATTGTGAAAGGAGGCATTTTTTTGGAATTGTAAAATTAATTATTCAATCTGATAATTTGAAGGAGGAATTGAATTAAATAATGAAATTTATAAGGATTTTTGTGCCAAACTATCTTTTAATTAAAATTGAGATTCCCAGGATATTAGTGCCAATTACATTCAAAGTTTAGTTTCATTCTCTCTGGTAAGATTTTATTACAATTTATAAAAGTTATAGTTAAACTTTAATTTCTTTTTGTTTTTATTTATTGAATATCTTTGAATTAAGGATAACTTCAAATTGTTAATTCATCATTCATTTTTTGCTTCCTCGTGGAGGAAGCTTTGTAGTCCTTTCGTTTATAAAACTTTTCAAAGTGGCGAAAACAAATTTTTTTCTTTATAGAAACATATTATATGAGATCCTGATCAATTGTCCGGATGTATGTATGTGTGTGTGTGTGTGTGTGGATCCCTTTTTTGTTTAGAAGATAACTTTAACAGGTTTTAATGGATTTAGATAAAATTTGGTAGGCTCATTTGTCATATTAATATCTCAAATCTGACCAAAGGATTTTTAAAAATACCCCAAAAAAAAATTTTATCGTCATTTTTCCAAAAATTTTTCTTTAATCGAAAAAATTTTTAAATAGAAAAATTTAAGGTTATATATAATAAAATCGTATTCCTTACGTCAAGATGAATCGATCGATATATATAAAGTATATATTTGAAGTAAATTTAAAGAATTAATGAAAGTTAAAAAATCAAAAATTCAGATTTTGGCTATAAAATTTTGTGATTTTTAAAATTGAAGTTTATAGGTATATGAAATAATTGTATTCCTTACGTCAAGACGAATCGATCGATATATATATAAAGTATACATTTGAGATAAATTTAAAGAATTAATGAAAGTTAAGAAATCAAAAATTCACATTTTGGCATTAAAATTTTGCTTTCTCCACGAGGAAGCAAATTTTTTTGCTGATCGTAAAGAGGAAGCAAAATGTTCATGTAATGAACATCTGAATTTACAACTTGTTTAATTCTGATTTTTTGGTTGAGTGTGTCGAACAGTCTCTGAAATTCTTTGGCAAAGAGGGACATTTAATTAATGCCCTTTAAGGCCAGGTCCAAGTGAGGCAACGCCATCTACATTGATACTAAAATTTTGGAAAATTTTCAACAGCCTTTTCTTGAAAACAAGATGGTAAAATGCTTTTTCTTTATGGATAATTGATTATATTGGCCTCACTTGAACCTGGCCTTAAATTCTCTTTCGAAATAGTGTATAACATTATAAGATTACACAGGTCCACAAAATAAATTCGATGAAAGGTTACTTTGACCAAATTTGGTGTATTATATGTTTTTGGGGTCGCTGATCACGAATCTGAAGTCCGTTTTGCTCCATCACGTCAGGATTCTTTCCTAACCTCAAAAAACATGTTGGATTTTACTTTGCAGACAACATTTTGTAAATATTGATGGATTCACCTCAATCTTCGTATCTAGGGGTTTTTGGGATCGCTGATTACGAATTTGAAGGCAGATTTTTAAAATACAAAATGACGGATCCAATATGGCGTCCGGATTTAAAAAAATTGCATTTTTACAAAACTTGGTATCTAGGGGTTTTTTAGGTCGCTGATTACGATTTTGAAGTCTGATTTTCAAAATCAATAGATATAACATGAGCTCAAGGTATGCTTTAGTTTGCTATTACCTACATTCAGCCGTACCCAGGAACAACGACGTGGACGTAGCAGGCTTCAGTTCCCTTCGGGGTGCTTGTTTATGGTGAGTCCCCTTGCCTCTCACTATTCTTAAAAGGAGATTGACTAAGGTCGTAAGTGGAGAATTAGCTAATAAAAATGTCCGATTTTTTTAAGCCTGCTACGTCCACGTCGTTGTTCCTGGGTACGGCTGAATGTAGGTAATAGCAAACTAAAGCATACCTTGAACTCATGTTATATCTATTAATTTTGAAAATCAGACTTCAAAATCGTAATCAGCGACCTAAAAAACCCCTTGATACCAAGTTTTGTAAAAATGCAATTTTTTTTAAATCCGGCCGCCATATTGGATCCGTCATTTTGTATTTTGAAAATCTGCCTTCAAATTCGTAATCAGTGACCCCAACAACCCCTAGATACCAAGATTGAGGTAAATCCATCAATATTTACAAAATGTTGTCTGCAAAGTAAAATCCAACATGTTTTTTGAGGTTAGGAAAAAATCCTGACGTGATGGAGCAAAACGGACTTCAGATTCGTGATCAGCGACCTTAAAAACATATAATACACCAGGTTTGGTCAAAGTAACCTTTCATCGAATTTTTTTTGTGGACCTGTGTTATTTTCTTTTTTATATAATAAAAATCTCTTGAATAACGCTCTGCTAGCGATCGTCTTTTGAAGGTGGAACGAGTTGAAATAGAATGCCTCATATATTGACTACTAAGTCAGAGGTTTAGGGACAGGTATAGTTTATTACATGTCCCATAAGGGTACCAAAATATTTTCAGAATATTTAAAAACGATTAAAAACAGAGTTTTAGTGAATCCAACTGCAATATATACTGATTACGAAGTTAGAGCTTTGGGGACAAGTAGTTTTTTATGTATGTCTGTCCCATAAGTGACCAAAATATTATTACCCATGAGGGTATACTGCTCACAACCATATCCACTATGAATAATCTTCGATCATGACAATTGTGGAACATTTTTTTTCGCTAAGATTATGATACGCAACTATACTATTTTATTCCCAAAAATAACATTTACAAATAAAATATATTCCTCTTCATCATTTGTCAGAAAATCAGTTCTAATAGTTTGTCGATACTCTCTAAATCTGAATAAGTAAAAATGTTTACTAATTTGAAATAGTGACTCACTTTTTGCTTCTGAATTAGTACAATTTTACTAATTATTAGTAACTTTTACTAACAATTAGTAAAATTTAACTAATTCGAAAGCAAAAAGTGATTCACTAATTTAAATTAGTAAAATTTTTAACTAATTCAGATTTAGAGAGTTATCTGAAAACATTTTAAGACACTTCTGGGACATGCACTGAACGATAATTGTCTCTAAACCTTAAACTCGATGGACGATATATATTATTGTAGGATTCCCTGAAAATCTCTTTTAATAGTTTCTTATTACTCTGACAATATATTGGGACATTTCTGGGACATACAATGAACGATACTTGTCCCTAAACCTTTAACTCGATAGACGATATATATTATAGTTGGATTACCAAAAAATCACTTTTAATAGTTTTCTAAATACTCTGAAAATGTTTTGGGACACTTACGGGACATTACTGGTCCCTATATCTTTGGCATGCTAGACAATATATTATAATTGGATTACTTGAAAATCTCTTTTGTAATAGTTTCCAAATACTCTAAAAATATTTTGGGACATTTCTGGGACATGTAAGGAACTGTACTTGTCCCTTAGATTTTCTAGCCGAATGACAATATTATAGTTTGATTGCCTAAAAATAAATTTATATAATTATATTTTTTTAATTGTTTAAACACGTTTGGCACAATTGTGGAACAGTTTCGTGACAGTTTTATGTCCCTTAAACTGTTGACTTTAATTTAAGAATAAATCCTTAAAGTTGGCAGTATTGAATGGTTATAAATTTTTACAAAAGATTTTTTCATTACTATTTTTAATAATTCTTTTATTTATTTCTTTGTTTTATTTATTTTAATTGTATTATAATTAATTAACTTTTTTCTATTATAATTATTCTTTATTAATTTTATTAGTTATTACTTTTTTTTTGAAAATGTAATATTTTTAAACATTTTGAATAACAGATTATTTAATTAGATTATTTATTATTTTGTAAACACTTCTTAGGACATTTTTTAATTTTATTGAGAGTGTCATTTTCGTACAAGTTTATAACCTTTCAGTAGTGTCAACCTAAAGAAAAAAAAAAACGAACATCAATTCTGAATTGGCATGTTTTCCGCAAATCTCAGCTGGAATGGCAGGTTTCTCAAATGTTTTATGAAATGACTCGTTTTTCAAGACTGCTCTGAAGTGGCACGTTTCTGCATCCAACCGACGAACTATTAATTTTGGCGGATTTTTCCATTAACATTTTTTGTTCGGGAGGACTTCAGCTACAAAATACTTCAATTCCAGACATTTGACCATTTCGGCCCGAAAATCAATGTTGCGTGTGCGGGGTCCTTTCTTCTCATTTTCGAGAATACTTGGAACTACCAAAAAGTGTCTTTGTCTCACGTGGCCTTAAAAATATTATCTATAATTTTAAAAACTATAATACCTGGAAATGCTGTTTTTTTAATTTTTTTTTATTTTTCGAATATATATATATATATTTACCTAGATATTTTCTTAGAGTGGGCTGTAAATATCCCGTAATCATGATCCAATGCATAACTTCTAAAGTCATCAGAGATGCGACATTTAAAACTCTTTGAAAGAAATTCATATCTTGCGTGAAAGCTTTGCCGAAATAGGGTCTGATAGCCCATGGGGATGGATTCCCTTGACGTGTGATTGAACCACTGTATAGAGCGACCTAGAAACGTTTAAGAAAAGAAAAAACAATTTTTAAAAAAATGTCGATGAAATTTTCATCAAATATTTTTCTATAAAAAGAAATTTTAAAATAAACAAAATTTTATGACAAGAAAAATGGGATTTATCCTTATACTTGTATATTTATAAAATATACATTGATACTGCCCTAAAACGGAAAAACATACGTAAGTCTTAATAACTAAAGTTTAAAAATCTTATAACAAATAATAAAGTCGATACGAAAAACATCATCATTTCATTGAAATTATATATAAAAATTATCTCTATATCAAAAAATTAAGAAAAAAGAAATTATAATAATATAAAAGAGTTTTAATTATATATTAAATTCTTCAATTACTTATAATTTTATACGATTTAATTTTGTTGTAGAACATTTCAACTATTAGGTGAATTAATTCGCAAATAGTTGAAATACCAATGGATTTCATTACCCAAAGAGACTCTAATCATACCTATGCCTATGGGTTTTACTATTAAATTATTTAATTACTAGGTTTATTAGAATTTAAATTTATACATAGTTATAGATTAACATTTTTAAAGAAAATTAATAATTACTATGTTTATTAAATATAATTATATATATGAATACTCCGATCAAATAACTCGACCGACGCTCGGACGAACGCTCTATTACCAGTCAAGTAGCAGTGACAGCCTGTGGGCGGCTCACTGCTACCCGACTACCATTAGAGCGTGCGTCCGAGCGTCGGTCGAGTTATTTGATCCGGGTATTCATATATATATATATATATATACAATAATATTTCATTTAATTATTATTGGCGAATGTATTATATATATATATAGGTAAATTATTTGAATTTATTTACATTTTCAGATGTGAATTAAATTTTGAAATTGAAAGAAAAATTGTAAAATATCGAGTTTGCTTTTACTCGATTAAAATCAATATTATATCTTACGCTTCAATTTATAATATTCGAATGAAGTGGAATTTACGTTTTTGATAATAGATAGGGTGAATGTACTAATTACTGCGCGATTCGAGTCAAAATACCTTTGAATTAAATTAAGAATTTGACATTTCTGTTGTATAAAGTAAATTGAAGACTTATTAAACTAAAAATTTATGTTATTTAGATATTAAAAAAAAATTTAACTTTATAAAAATCGATTATTTAAACAAATATGAAAAATTTTAAATAATACCGTAATTTTCTATTAAGGCGCGTTTGTACCAAAATTACGTGTATTTTGAAGATATTTTGCCCACTGTAATTAGAGCCAATGGAAATCTTAAAAATGTTTCAATTACGGCGAGGGAAAAAATCAAATAATTAAATTAATAATTGTTTAAATGTGCATCTTTATAAGTAATTGTATCAAAAAAAGATTAAAATAATTTTTTTTTAAATCATTTTGCAACAGGGTAAGAATTCCTGAAGTGTCCCCTAATTATTTTTGGGTAAGAAAAAAAAATACTATAGGGGAATAGTGTCAGGGTTGGACACTTGGCTTTTTTTAAATAAGAACACTAGCGCCACCTGTGTGCGTACGTGACGAATCTTCTAGTAGTGTAACCTAACTTTTTGTGGCATTACATTTTTGGAGAAACAAAAGTAGCGTCTCCTGTGACTTCGGTGCAATCGAAGAGACAAAAAAAGTTTTGTTTGACTTGTGAATAAACCTAAAAAATGTGTAAAAAAGCAAGAATTCGGCAAGGTAAGCTTATTGAATGTATTGTGAGGTACATAATTTAAGAAGAAAAAAAGTGAAAAATCGAATCGCGACACATGTCTGGTTATGGTTAGCACAATTCGAAAATGATGCTTCTAGTTAGGGTTGAAAACCCATATTAATTATGAATTTGACACAATTTATAAATAAATTTTATTTTATTGATATTTCAGTGCAAAATTGTGCCAAAGATATTAGAAAAATAATACTTAAATTGTATAAATTTTGTTCATCATTTCATTGAGTTATTTGGAACAATAAAGCGTTATTTTTTGTAATTTGAGTTCATTCCTTTTTTGAAACCCATGAAGCTTTACAATTTATAAACAATAAGTAAAGATGAACATGAAAAAATAAGAATAAAAAACATTACAAATGTTATTTTACGTTTTTACCAATAATGCGTTTCGATTTTGAAAAAGTGTCCAACCCTGACTGAAAAGTCCAACCCTGACTAGATTTTTTTTTTTAAATGTTTATAACTTTTTTGATTTTGGACCAATCAATTTACGGTCCACAGTAAAAGTGTTCCTCTTTTGTAGATCTTTCCACCCATATACTACAATTGACTGAATTTATCTAAACAAAATATTTATAAACAAAAAACCAAAACTGTGTCCAACCCTGACACTATTCCCCTATGTATTTTGATAGTCCATTATGTCATTAGTAAGACCCCTAAATGATTTTTCAAAATTTTAATTTTTGTAAAAATTATAAACAATTGAACTTCTTTGCATTGATTTAGAAAAAATTGACAATTGAGAGCTCGTGCGCGGTTAGACTAAAAATTTCATAACTTCTAAAGTTTAAGAGAATTTCACTTTTTTATTTTTGGTATGGAATCATGAAAAGTCTTTCTTCACGATACTATAAAAAAATGGACAAAATCGATTCAGAACATTGTTTATTTATAAAATTAACAATTAAAATATAATTTGTTTAAACAAATTACACTTTTTATTTATTTTCTATACATTTATCAAAAGTACGTTTCTTAATCTTTCACCAAACCAACCAAGCCTATTTTAAATTTAAGATATTCAATTTTTTCTAAATCGATGCAAAAAAGTTCAATTGTTTATTATTTTTACAAAAATTAAAATTTTGAAAAATCGTTTAGGGGTCTTACTAATGACATAATGGACTATCAAAATACATATAGTATTATTTGTTTTTCTTACCCAAAAATAATTAGGGGGCCACTTCAGGAATTCTTACCCAACCCATTATATTAAATATAATAATAATAATAGTTATTTTTGTGAACGCGCCGTAATTGGTACACTTACCCTATATAATTAAAAATAATTTATTGAAAAAATTGATTTGAAATTAAATAATAAATTCTATTTTTTTTTTTGCAAAAAAGAAAAATCAATTTTTGTGCATAATCACAAGAAAAACAATTTTTCAGTCTGTTTCCTGAATAAGAATTAATTTACCAGGAATTAATGAGTGCCGTATAAATATCCGTTTTCTGAAAAATAAATATGCTTTCAAGTGCTTTTTCTCCTATTTGTAATGCCTCTTAAATACTAATTAGAGGAACATATATATATTTTCTCTCTTTATTCACCGTTTAATATTCGCGAGGTTATAATAATAATAACAATAATATTAATATAATTTATTTAAATTTATAATTAATATAGCGAATAAAATTGAAAAAAAAAATAAAATTACATATAACTTTAAAAAAAAGTCATAATAGAAAAAAATTCTTTAAAAGCATCTACAATCAATAAAATAAGTTGAAAAAAAAGTATTTGAAATATATGACAAAAATTATGAAACTGAAAATGAAAAATATATAAGCTCGAGGTCGACTTAAATAAAGAATATATTTTTTTCGTTACACAGAGCACGTATTCACTCAATGGAAAAATCAGGCGATGTTTCTTTCATAAAAATTTCAAACATTCGACCATACAAATATGTGTTAATCAAATCACCGTAAATTCTTTGAAATGTTTTATTTGACAAAAATCAAGCGTGAAACTCAAGGCAGAATAATATTAATAAAATAATTTTTTACTATATTAGTCGTGGAATTTTTAATTAAAAAAAAGAGAACGTCATATTTTATTGTATAAATTAAATATTTTATTTACGTACTTAAATATCATTTTAGTTGAATATTATAGTAAATATAATTAAAAAATATATAATATATACATCAAGAAAAAAATTTAATTTAATAAAACAAAATTTTTCTTATCAATATTCATAAAATGTTTTCCTATTTTATCAGAAAATTTAGATTGACTAAAAATTGTAAAATTAAACTGTATTTTATTAATTCAATCAAAAATGGAATAAATTATATTTTGTTTAATTTGATTAAACTTTTTTTCAAATAAATTATAAATAGAGATAAAAAAAGAAAATTTTTTAAATATTATTTTTTTAAAATAGAAAACTTTAAAAACTATTGTATCTACTGATTATTATTATTTCGACGTTTTGAAAGATGACTTATTTTTGTTATTTTTCATTTAAATTTCAAATTGAATGACACATTACTATATAATTATAATATTTCTTCGTCGTTTTCTGTAATTCTTTTACACACAAATATTGCAAATATATGATAATTAGATACTGAACCTTATGTATAAAAAGGATGAAAAAAGGCAAATAATAATAAATAAAATATTTTTTTAATTTTAAGGAGGATAACATAACCTGAAACTAAAAAAATGGTTTTTAACGCAAACAAAAATATTAGTTAAATTATTTTCAATCAATTTTTGAAGAAAAAAATTTCCAAAAAAATGGTATGTATATTGAGTTAAAATTTTTCATCAAATAATGATTTTTTTTCAACTTAGATAAAAATCTAAATAAATAAAAAATAAAAAAAATTATTTTCAATTTTTTATAAATAATATCTTATTTTACTCATTGAAATATTTTCTTCAATCGTAATTTTTTCAATTTTGTTAAAAGTAAGTTATTGTTAAAAATTATTTAATAAAACCAATTTTGATTTGTTTATAATTTTTGAAAAAAATGTTTTTAAAAATATTAAGGAACTATCACCAAGATACAAAAAAAGTTTCACTTTTTCATCGACTTTCAAAATATGTTAACGAAAAAAAAAAATTTTTGAATTTGTTTATAAAAAAAACAGCGATTTTTTATAAATATAATAAATTTTTTTTGGGCGCGATTTTTTTTTATTTTTATTTTTACACACATGAAAATAATTTGAAAATTTTGTAATAAGTTTTGAAGTGGGCCTAATAATCCTTTTGTTTATATAATTTGTTTAAAAAATTTTTTTTTTACTTTTTTCGTTTTTTTTTATTATTTTCGAAATGAAAAGTGTTTTGAGTTCCCGGATCTTCTAGTAAACTCATATAGAAAAGCAAATTAAAATACATTTTATTTTAAAAAATAAAAAAAATCGCGCCCAAATTTAAAGAAATTTAATTTGTTTATAAAATATCGCTGTTTTTTTTTTATACAAATTCAAACTTTTTTTTTCGTTAACATATTTTGAAAGTCGATGAAAAACTGAAATTGAAATTAGGTGTATTTTTACAAAAAAAAAAAAAAAAACTCGAAAAAATCAGATTTTTAAGCATTTGAGCATTAATAAAAGAATAAAGAAATACGTAAACCTTTTTTTTCCTACCTATAAAGATAAAAAAAAATATATTTAACAAATTTAAAATGTCATAGGTAAATCTTACGTGGAATCGCCTGTATACAATGTTTTCATCAAAATATAAAATAATTTTTTTTTAATTCACACAAATTATTTTTTCAATAGTTTACTTAATACTTAGCATTTCAGAGTATTTTTTTTTACTTTTACTGTAATAAAAATAACTTTCTAAAAATATTAGACAAAAATAATTATTTTATTAAAGTTATAAAAAATTGAATTTTTAGCTGTCTTAAATAAAAAAAAAAAATTCTTAACACAAATTGAAAAACAAAAAATAATTTTTACTTATCCTGAAATGTGGTATTTAGCAATAATTTTTCTTTTAAAAAATTTTTTTATTTTAAATCACTTTTTAAATTTTTCATTTATAAAATGTTAATAAAAAAATGTTTTTTATGTCCTATGAAAATTTTTTTTATATTTCCGTATAAACTGAGTATAAAGTCGTTGTGAAAAAAATGTCTAATCAATCGGAAAAAAAATTAATAATATTAAATCAATAATATTAATATAATAATATAATAAATAATAATATAATAATCAATAATATTAATTTATTTAAATAATAATGAAATAATAACAATAAAATTATTATTTGTTATAAATTTTATTGTTAAGAATCTATTTTTTATTTTTAAATTTGTCAATTGGATCTCGAGAAAACTGGTTTTTAATTTAAAACAGCTAAAAATTTCAATTGTTTGTAACTATAACAAAAAATTTTTTTTTGTTTTTTTTAGAAACTTATATTTTCATTCAAATAAGAGCAAAGACATATTTATAAAAGATCAAGAAATTTTTTTTGTAATGAATTCAAAAGAAAAGTGTAATTTATAATTAACATAAATTTCGCTTTAAATAATTTTCAGACGATTTTGTATTTACTTTTGTAATTTTTTTATTATTACACGGAGAAAATCTGAAAGCACTGAGTATTTTTTCTCACATCACTGGCTACTGTGGAAACCAAAAAATTAAATTTCTAAAACTCTGAATGTTTTCTGCACAGCACTCAATGCTCTGCAAAAAATAATCACTATTTTTTTGACAGTTATTTATAGAATTTCGGTTTATATTAATGAAAAAACAGAGTTTTCAAAGCTAGGAATATAGCAATAAATTCTTCGCTCTAAGTCGTGACTGCTTTCCTCACAGCTCTGAGTACTGTGTAGAATTATTTTTTAAGATTAAAAAAATAAAAAGAACATTTAACCTTTAATAAAAAATAAATATCAATTTTAAACAAGCGTTCAAGACAATTTTAATCAATTTTAGATGTTTTCTTATATTTTTATGAAAAACAGATTATTTGATTAAAATTATTTATAATTAATTAAATAAGAAGTAATAAACTTTAATAATATTAAACAAATTACTTTTTGTTAATAAACGTAAGAAATAATAATTTTTTTTACTTCACGAGATAAATATTTAAAATAATAATGTTGAAACTTAACCCAATCAAAAATTTACTACTGGCGCAGTACTGACAAGTACTGGCGCAGTACTGGCACCCAGTATTGGCGCCAGAGTTGGCGTAACTTTGGGATGATAACATTTTAGCAGTATTGGCTACCAGAGTTGGCACCAGTACTGGTAACCACTACTGGTTCAGTACTGGACGAGTACTGGCAGTTTTGTAATTTATTGTATAGGAAAAGAAAGCTTTAACTGTAACAGAGATAAGTTTCACTGCAATAGTGAAATCTCTGCTCCAGGTAATACTCTTTTGGTATACTTAGGGAAAAGTGTCTGAAATTTTTAGTAACCCAACACAAATTAAATATTAATTAAATTAGTCAACTAACTAATTAATATTTTATTATATAAAATCGAAAACACAAAGAATTTTTATTCTTTATTATAATATATTATATTGCAAATTATTATTTTAAGGGGACTTTCTGGTTTAGAATTGACAAAAAAGGAAGGTTGTAAAACTTTTATTGTAAGAACAGTATTAAAGAAATTGTAAAAACTATTTTTGGACATTGTAGCACATTGCGTAGAGAAAATTTAAAAAATATGTTTGAGTGTATTTAGTTCAATTTCATAGCTGTAGGTGGCGTCTTCCAAAAGATACCTTTTTTTTGGTACGTTAGTTTCCGGGCAACCTGTAATACATAAATTCAAGTTCCAAACGGAAATCTCTTCATAAGGATTTATTCTGGGGCCTAAACCTCAAAAACGATTTTTTTTAAAGGTTTTTTTATTTTTTATGTACATTTTTCTCAAAAACTCGCAAAAACGCCGTGTTTTTGGGTCAATTTACCTCCATATAAAAACACAGGGGGTAGAAATATGAGTTTTTAGAGGTTTAGGCCCCAGTTTTTTAAATAAAGAATCGAAAAATTTTTGGGATTTCAAAATCGGTTCGGTAGATTTCGAGAAAAGCTCTGTACCAGTTTGAAAAATGAGTTTTCGAGAAAAACGCGTTCAAAGTTTTCATAACATAGTTCATTGAGTCATGAATATCAAACAACTTTTTATTACAACAGAACTTCGTATCCCGCTGTTTTTAGGGTCGCTGATTGCGAATTTGATGTCCGTTTTGGAAAATTCAAAATGGCGGATCCAATATGGCGGACGAAAAAATAAAAATTCAACCGGATTTGCTTAAAACTTGCTACTCGGGGGTTTTTGGGGTCGCTGATTACGAATTTGATGTCCGTTTTTGAAAATTCAAAATGGCGGATCCAATATGGCGGACGAAAAAATAAAAATTCAACCGGATTTGCTTAACCTTCGCTTGACAAGATGCCCACCCAGGGTGGGCCAGACAAATTGAAATTGCCATATCTTCTAAAGTTTTGCCTTAATTGAATCGCGATTTTAAGTCACTGAACAAAATCTTAAGAACTTTCAAAAAATGTAAAAACAAATTTTTAAAAAAAATTTCTTCTTGATTATTTATAACTTTTATCAATGTATGTACGGAGATAACCGGGATGATTCAGATATTTTTTTAATTCTATTTTACAAAAAGACTTGAAATCATGCAGACTTTTCACTGTGAGTGTTTTATGATGTCAAATAATAGATATAAAAAATATTATATTGCATTTTTCATTTGTTTAAACAATTTATTGTTATTATTTATTAACTTTTTTTGTTCTGCACCTACAAAGATGCAGTTTTTTTCTAATTTTGCAATTTATCAAGCGGTATATAATAAAAGATAGATTTGATGTAAAATTATTAATTCAACAATTGTTTAAACAATTTATTGTTGTTATTTACTAACTTTTTTTGTACGGCACCTGGAAAGTTGCCGTTTTTTTCTAATTTTGCAACTCATCAAGCCGAATATAATAAAAGATAGATTTGGTGTAAAATTGTAAATTCAACAATTGTTTAAACAATTGTTAAATTAGTAAATTTATGTCAAATCTGTCTGGCTATATTATATTCGATTTGATAAATTGCAAAATTAGGAAAAAACTGCATCTTTCTAGGTACACTACAAGAAAGTTAATAAATAACAACAATAAATTGTTTAAACAATCGTTTGAATACTAAATTCATATAAAATCTTCATGTTTATTATGTTGAGCTTGTTAAGTTGCAAAATTAGAAAAAAATTGCAATTTTCTAGGAATATTATGAAGAATGTTAATAAATAGCAACAATTATTTGTTTAAACAATTTATAATAATAGTTGTTGTAAATTGAATTATATATTTTATTTTATTTATAACCTTTGAATTAATAACTACGAAGAAAAGGTAACAAATTTATAAAATTCTTCTACTGTCGTATGTATATTTGAAAAAGTTATAAATTATTAATAATAAATTGTTTAAACAAATAAAAAATCAACAAAACATTAATAAAATATATTATTTGGTAACATATAACAATTTTGGAAAAAAACTGAATGATTCTAAGTTTTTATTGCAATATACAAAGAAGAAAACATTTGGCCCACCCTGGGTGGGATCTTGTCAACCGTGTATATAAAAAGTATCCAGTCCGGCGAAGGTTAAAACTTGCTACTCGGGGGTTTTTGGGGTCGCTGATTACGAATTTGATGTCCGTTTTGGAAAATTCAAAATGGCGGATCCAATATGGCGGACGAAAAAATAAAAATTCAACCGGATTTGCTTAAAACTTGCTACTCGGGGGTTTTTGGGGTCGCTGATTATGAATTTGATGTCAGTTTTTGAAAATTCAAAATGGCGGATCCAATATGGCGGACTACAAAATAAAAAATTAACTTTTTTAATTAATTAAAACGTTCCTAGAACGTTAATGTTTTGTGCCTATATTCATAACTAGCAATCTCAAAAGGCCACAAGTAACCATTTTCAACTAAATTTAATTAATTTCTTAATCTTTGTCCGCCATATTGGATCCGCCATTTTGTATTTTCAAAAACTGACATCAAATTCGTAATCAGCGACCCCAAAAACCCCCGAGTAAGAAGTTTTAAGCAAATCCGGTTGAATTTTTATTATTTCGTCCGCCATATTGGATCCGCCATTTTGTATTTTCAAAAACTGACATCAAATTCGTAATCAGCGACCCCAAAAACCCTCGAGTAACATGTTTCAAGCTAATATCAATAAAAGAGGAACACCAAATATGTAAATAAGGTAACTGTAGATTGTTGTTGAAATACATACCGTCATAAATATTGTTATAACTTTTGTTTTTGTACATATTTTTTAAAAAACGTTTTGGGACAGTAATTCTATGATACTATGGAACATTTTTAAGCAAAAAAAAAATCGATTTTTTTGAAATTCTAAACCAGAAAGTCCCCTTAAAGAATCAAAAAATAAATATAAAAATATGTTTATTATAAAACTAAAGTTCTGAGAAAAAAAAGTATACGTAATTTTTTGTAGGTTTATAAATTTTCGGGTAAAAATTTTTTAATTTAAGTTTTTTTCAAAAGTATAATATCTATTTTTAATCACATATATATTTGCATCAAAATGAATTTTTGAAAAACTTTTTTAAGAAAATAAAAGTTGTTTTTTGATTTTTAACAAGTGTTGTCAAGAAAATTTTTTTTGAATTTTTTATAAACAAATTTATTTATTTTTAGTTTGATCGTTTAAAAATTTTTTTTGGTTTATTGCATATCATGTGCACATGCGCAATAACGTAATAAATATTTCAGGTTAGGTCAAAAAATAAACTTGTGAAAAGTTAATTATAATAATAAAATGTTTTATATTTTATTATTATATCATAATTTTGCCTAGCTTTCGAACTGAAACCAGTTCATCTTCAGGGCTAAAAATTTAAACAAAATATCACATTAAATAATTTTTCAATCAAATAAACAATTTAAATATAATAAATATCTGTTCTAATTTTCGAGTAATCGTTGGTATGCTATTTTTATGTATTATGATTATCGAGAGATATTTATTATATTTATTTAAACTGTTTTGATTGAAAAATTATTTAATGTCGTATTTTGTATGAAATGTTTATAGCTTTGAAAATGAACAGATTCCAGTTCAAAACGGAGGCAAAATTCTAATATAGTAATAAATCAAATATGACCAAAAAATCCGTTTTAAAACATTATTATTTCCAGTCGTTAAATTAATTAATATTATTATTAATAAGGATTTATTATGTATAATTTAAATATTCCCGCCTCTTTCTTTGAAACTTTGAAACGTTTCATGAAGCATTGAAACTTTCATGAAACTTTCATTCAACGAAAATTTCATGAAACTTTACAACCCTAGTGGCATTACATTTTTGGAGAATCAAAAGTAGCGTCTCCTGTGACTTCGGTGCAATCGAAGAGACAAAAAAAGTTTTGTTTGACTTGTGAATAAACCTAAAAAATGTGTAAAAAAGCAAGAATTCGGCAAGGTAAGCTTATTGAATGTATTGTGAGGTACATAATTTAAGAAGAAAAAAAGTGAAAAATCGAATCGCGACACATGTCTGGTTATGGTTAGCACAATTCGAAAATGATGCTTCTAGTTAGGGTTGAAAACCCATATTAATTATGAATTTGACACAATTTATAAATAAATTTTATTTTATTGATATTTCAGTGCAAAATTGTGCCAAAGATATTAGAAAAATAATACTTAAATTGTATAAATTTTGTTCATCATTTCATTGAGTTATTTGGAACAATAAAGCGTTATTTTTTGTAATTTGAGTTCATTCCTTTTTTAAACCCATGAAGCTTTACAATTTGTAAACAATAAGTAAAGATAAACATGAAAAAATAAAAAACATTACAAATGTTATTTTACGTTTTTACCAATAATGCGTTTCGATTTTCAAAAAGTGTCCAACCCTGACTGAAAAGTCCAACCCTGACTAGATTGTTTTTTTAAATGTTTATAACTTTTTTAATTTTGGACCAATCAATTTACGGTCCACAGCAAAAGTGTTCCTCTTTTGTAGATCTTTCCACCCGTATACCACAATTGACTGAATTTATCTAAACAAAATATTTATAAATAAAAAACCAAAACTGTGTCCAACCCTGACACTATTCCCCTATTAATCAAAAAGAAAATCTATTTGAGCCAGTACTGGCTCAATATCGGCTCAGTACTGGTTTGCCAGTACTGGTAGGGTGGTACTGCAACAGTACTGATACAATGAAAATACCAATACTGGTTCAGTACAGACTGCCCAGTCTCGGCAGCGAATACTGAACCAGTACTGCGCCAATAGTCAACTCTGGTATAATACTGAAATTTTTTGTTGGGTATATTTTTTAATCATAATAATCTATAAATTTAGATTAGATTGTAATTTGATATTAGCTAAGAAATCTTAAAATCTAAAAACTTGTGAAATACAAATAAATATTAAAAATTTACCTATAATAATTCATTTTAAAAATAATTATTTATTATTTCATTATTGTATAATAACTTTTTTTGCTATATATAATTGAAAAATTAAAAAAAGCGATAGTTTTTAAAAAGACTTTTTGAAATTTTCATTTTCTTTATTTCTGTTATTCATTAACTGTTTATAAACATGTCAATTAAAATCAATATTTGAAAAGAAAAAATAACCATGGCTATCTTCTTTTTAATTGACGTTAAACGTTCCTTTGTTTTCTAAATTCTAAAAAATAATTCTACACAGTACTCATTGTCAGAGCTGTGAGAACAGCAGTCACGACTTTGAGCAAAGAATTTATTGCAACATTTGTAGTTCTGAATAATCTATTGTCAACTAATATGAAACGAAACTCTGTTTACTGTCAAAAAAAGTTGTGATTATTTTCCGCAGAGCATTCAGTGCTATGTGGAGAACATTTAGAGTTTTGAAATTTAATTTTTTGGTTTACACAGTAGCCAGTGCTATGAGAAAAAATACCGTGTATTATTGCACTATTATTTTTTGGTATGTTCTGAAAGTGTTTATATTTTTCAGTTCGTTTCTATTTTCAAAGAAAAAAAAATAAAATAAAATTTTCAGTTTGAAAAAATATAAATAAATAAAAGTTAAAGCTTTTAAAATAAAAATAAATAGTTCATGGAGTATGGTGATATATATATATATATATGAAATAAATTTTAATCCATAAAAAGTGAGAGGAGTGAGTCTTTTTTTTTTTTTTTTTTTTTGTTAAATGTATTTATGTAAAAAAATTCGTTCATACAAGAATTTTAGAGGGGATTTCATACATATGTATAGAAGCAAATTCTCTATTCTATTATATGTGTGTTTGCAGAATATTTGATAGAATTTAAAATTCCTTACTGTATTCAACATGATAGTGGGTATCCGTTCGCTGTGAATAATCCCTAGCAGGCACTCAGGATAAGCACCATCTAAAATTGCAACGTCCCAGCGAGCTTGAGGGTTGCCTTCTGGTTTTCTCAAAACCGTTACGGAAGTTTCATCCCTCAGCAATGCCTCGCAAGCTTCCCATCCATATCTCATTGCGTCCCAAGGGGAAATTGGCAATTCATTTCGAAATCTCGATCCCACCAAATCCCAATCCGATGTATAATTACCTACATAGGCCTGAAATAATCATTTTTTTTTAAAATTAATTTTATAATAATAAATAATTTTAATAAATTATGAGTTTTGCATAAGGCGCCGAAAAAATTTGTCTTAGAGTCTAATAATTATTTATTTGTGCTACATAAAATTTTATTTACGCTAAATAAAATTTTATTTCTGCTATAAATAAATTTTTTTATTTAAAACAAATAAAAATTTATCAGGCTCTGAGAGAGGCTCAAATATAATAGAAAAATTTTTATTTGTCTTAAACGCCAATAAAACATTTTGTACATTTAATATATGAGATTTTAAATGTTTATCATTTCCGGACAAAATTTTATTCTAAATGGAAAAAAGAGATATATGCATTTTTTCATTTTGATTTTAATAAATAATTAATGATTTCATTCCCAGTCAAAATTTTATACTGAATAATGGAAAAAAAGAGATACGGTATTTTTTCATTTTGATTTTAATAAATATTTAGTGACGCCGCAAAAGTCCATGCATTTTTACATATATTTTAAATGGGGAAAAAAAATATTTTTTCGTAAATTTACTGTATAGAATGGTTAAAAGTGAACAAAAGAAATTTAAACCAAAAAAAGTAAATTGAAACATTAAAATAACAAAAATCAGATAAATTTTTTAGTTTCCCGTGCGGAAAAATGGTGAGTAAAACAATTTTTTATTTAAAAGATTCAACAATAAGCATTCAAAAACATTACATTTTTGAACAACTAAATATGAATCAGCCGTTATGGCTGCGCGCGACCTTTCTTATTTTCCAGTCAGTGGTACCAACTTAATTCTGAAAAGTGAGGTTATGTTTACCATATTTAGTTCACGTATCATGTTGGTATCATTGACTGGAAAATAAGAAACGTCGCGATCAGTCATAAAAGCTGATTAATATAATATAAAATAACAAAAAACAATTTCTAAATTTTTTTAATAAATTAACACAATTTTTTTTTTTTATATAAAAGCTCTAAAAATAAGAAAAATTGTGAACTTTAAACCATTTCATTTCGTGTAGTCGTTAAAAAGTGGATTTTATTTAATGTTTGTTGTTGTGTCTTTTAAATTTTTAAATAAACAATTGTTTTTACTTAAAAAATGTATTACTCCGAAAAATGATAAAAAATGGAATGGCATATATATTTATATATATATTGGGTATCGAGAAATCAATTTTTCATAGACAGTTAAAGAATACAGGAAAAAAAAAGTTGAGAAAGTTCTATTGAAACCAGAGAGCGGAAATAAATTTCACGATTCACCGTCAAAACCACAACAAAGAATTTTCTGTTTGGGATCGAACTAATTTACTTTTTATAACAATGTAATTTTGTATTTTAATTATTACTTTCACTAATTACTATAATTGTAGAATTTTTTTTTTTTTTTTTTTGTTACTTGAAAATCCGAGTTTTTCCAATATTGGAAATTTTCATTGTTTATTAGTTATTTTTGTCGATATAATTATAAAAGTATTCAAAAAAAATTATAATGTACATTTTTTTCGCCTCATATATTATTCATTTTCGATGAATTCATTTAGGAATTCGATTAAGAAGTGATTAGAGATTTGTCTAGGATTTATTTTTTTCCATAATATATAATATCCTCATATAATTTTATTAATATTTTATTTTTAATAAAATATAATAATAATATAAATAAATATAATTTTAATGATTCATATTGGTAGGATTATTTATTGACCCTTTTTAGTAAATTAATTACTAAAATTTACGTGTTAATTCATTTAGACCCTAAAGCCAAATACAAATCATCATAATAATTAATATAATTTTAAATAATAATATAAAAAATAATATTTTATTAATATTTTTTAAATCTATTATTATTGTAAATTACCATTTTAAAAAATTGTTATCAATAAAAAGTTAATTTTTCAATAATATAAGAATATATATATATGTACAAATTTTAAACATTATTTTTCGTTATCTATCGCTATTTAACGAGAATCTGTCAAAACGAGACGAGCACCTGACGATAATATTTTAACAATTGAACGAGTATATTATCGTTTAGGTTATTTATCGTGTAGTCTTCTCGCTCGAATGCATCACTATAGTTTAACCTTTAAAACTGAATATACTAATTATTTTTCGATATCCCTTTAGAATAAAGTTTCCATATTCAAAAATTCTAAGTAATATATCCATTAATGTCCAACCCTCCCTTTAAATTAAAGAAAAAATTATTTAAATTCTTAAGCAATTACAGTTTTGTTCCACCCTTTCTCTAAATTAAAAAATAAAATTATAATAGGTTAAATAACAAAACGATAACATTCAGACAAATGGATTTTTAATCAAATTTCCTCTAACGTTTTGAAATCACATTGATTTCCTCTTCAGGAAGTTTGACAATAATTTTTTGAGATATCTCTAATTAAAAATTTATGTCATTTTTAAAAAAAAAACATGTAACTTTTTTTCTTGTTATCCAAATGAGATCAATTTTTTTTCAAATTTCTCACAAAAAGATGCTATTTTAAGAAAAAAATAGTTAATGAAAAAAAAAAAATTTTTTTGCCCGGAAAAAATGCAAAAAAAATTTGAATTCATTTTTTTAAAAAAACTACCTCTTCTATTTTAAAAATTTTTTTTCTACTTATTGCCTATGATGTTAAGAACACTGCAAAAAGAAGTATCTTAATATAAGCTATTTTGATAGTAATTTTTAAGATGTTTTGGTAGTAACTTTTTAGTTATTTGAAATATCTTAGTTTAAGATGTTAATAATATCTTTGCCAAAGTGCTTCACATATTTTTGATGAAAAAAATTTCGAGGTTAACTATGGCCTCTTAAGTAAGATGCTTAATGTATTTTATATTTTAGTAACTTTAAATTTTGACGTATCTTAGAATTTACAAGGATCTTTTTTCTTAACATCTTATGACTCCACAAATATCTAAATTCAAGTTACTTACAGAAACTTACCGAAGTAACTTACATTTTAAGATGGAAGAAATATTTTAATTCTTGTTAAAACGCAAAAAACATCTTAAATATTAATAAGATACTTTACAAAATATCTTTTTTTAAGATGGAAGATACCATTTTTCCATATTACATCTTATTGTAAGATACCAAGTAAGTCACTTATTTTTGCAGTGAATAACTTCTCTAATTTTCATAATGGGACAGCAAGAACTTTGCGATTATATAGTATTATATATAGTATGGAAACTTCCATTTCGTAACCGTAATGAAATTCTGGGTTTAGACTTGTGGTACAAATTCCAAAAATATTGGGTCCAATCCCAGACATTTGGCCCAATATTTTTGGCATTTGTACTACAAGTCTTAACCCAGAATTTCATAACGATTACAAAAGGCACACTGGAAATTAGTGGGTTTTATTTAAGAAAAATAATTTTATTACTGTGGGCCTCACATTGGGCCGTGGAATCTTACATTGGACTCTGTGCCCAATTTGAAAATTAGTTTCGAATTTCTAATCTTGTGTCCCCAAAAACCATCCCAAGATAGGATTTTTTAAAATTTATTTGTTTGTCAAAAAATGTTGGACCCAATCCCAGTCATTGGAACTAATATTTTAGGTTCGTTAACCTGGCTTGTCCACATTGTCTGATCTGGATAAAACCTATTTGAAAATTAAGGGCTAATTTAAGGCTAATTTAATGCCCTAATGCCGAATTTAATGCTCGGCATTTTCTTTAAAAAACTTGTGGACAAGCTAGCTTAACATTAAGGTGGCTTGTCCACACAATGAAGGAGCACTCGTAGAAAGGCCTACTATAGGTCAAAATTTAGGGCTTTTTTAAGGCTCTTGAATGCTCTATTGTAGAATTTAATGCCGGCATTATTTCGCGAAATATTTGCAAAAATTCAATTTTTACGTTATCTCAGTTTGTCCACATCATGAAGGAACACTCGTAGAAAGGTCTACTATGGATCAAAATTTAGGGCTAAGATTGTGACTTGCTAAGATAGTGTTAAATTTGGCATAAAAGCATTTTAGAGTTTTAAATAAGCCCTAAATTTTGACACCTAGAAGACCTTCCTAGGAGTATTCCTTCATTGTGTGGACAAACCGATATCAAGTAAAAATTGAATTTTTGCAAATATTTGGCGAAATTATGCCGGCATTAAATTCGTCAATAGAGCATTGCGGAGCCTTAAAAAAGCCCTAAATTTTGACCTATAGTAGACCTTCCTAGGTGCTTTCCTTCGTTTTTTGGACAAACAAATATCAAGTAAAAATGGAATTTTTCAATTATTACGCGAAATAATGCCGGCATTAAATTCGGCAATAGAGCATTGAGAAGCCTTAAAAAAGCCATAAATTTTGATCCATAGTAGACCTTTCTACGAGTGTTCCTTCATGATGTGGACAAACTAAGATAACGTAAAAATTGAATTTTTGCAAATAATTCGCGAAATTATGCCGGCATTAAATTCGACAATAGAGCATTGGGGAGCCTTAAAAAAGCCCTAAATTTTGATCCATAGTAGATCTTTCTACGAGTGCTCCTTCATTGTGTGGACAAACTGAGATAACGTAAAAATTGAATATTTGCAAATAATTCGCGAAATAATGCCGGCATTAAATTCTACAATAGAGCATTGGGGAGCCTTAAAAAAGCCCTAAATTTTGACCTATAGTAGACCTTCCTATGAGTGCTCCTTCATTGTGTGGACAAACTGATATCAAGTAAAAATTGAATTTTTGCAAATATTACGCGAAATAATGCCGGCATTAAATTCGGCAATAGAGCATTGAGGAGCCTTAAAAAAGCCCTAAATTTTGATCCATAGTAGACCTTTCTACGAGTGTTCCTTCATGATGTGGACAAACTGAGATAACGTAAAAATTGAATTTTTGCAAATATTTCGCGAAATAATGCCGGCATTAAATTCTACAATAGAGCATTCAAGAGCCTTAAAAAAGCCCTAAATTTTGACCTATAGTAGGCCTTCCTACGAGTGCTCCTTCATTGTGTGGACAAGCCACCTTAATGTTAAGCTAGCTTGTCCACAAGTTTTTTAAAGAAAATGCCGAGCATTAAATTCGGCATTAGGGCATTAAATTAGCCTTAAATTAGCCCTTAATTTTCAAATAGGTTTTATCCAGATCGGACAATGTGGACAAGCTAGGTTAACGGACCTTAATATTTTGGGCACTTATACAACAAGTCAGAACGCAGAATTTCGTAGGGATTACGAATTTTATACTGAAAATTAGTGGTCTCATTTAAGAAAATCACTTTTTTCATTGTATGGCCCAACATTGGGCCCCGGGTCCAATTTTTTGGTTTCAAAGATGTAGATCTTTTTGTTAGGAACAACTTTTGTCTTCAACATTTTTTACGAAAATTCGTACTTTTCGAGATATTTGCAAGTTTCCATACTATATAATGGACGTGAAAACTAAGATGGGCGCGTTTTAATTTTTTTCTCGCAAAGTTCTTGCTGTCCCATTATAAAAATTAGAGAAGTTATTCTTAACATCATATAGGCAATAATTAGAAAAAAAAAATTTTTGAAATCGAAGAGGTAGTTTTTTCAAAAAATGAATTCAAAATTTTTTTTTGCATTTTTTTTTTTGCAATAAATTTTTAATTAGAGATATCTCAAAAAATTTTAAAAATTTTGAAAAACACAGTAAACTTGGTTGTATCTTTTTCTATTGCAACGTTTTGATGCACATAAGTTATATCAAAAAGAGATCGTTTTGTGTATCATTTTTAGAAATGATACACGAAACGGTCTCATTTTTTGATGCAAAAAATTGAATCAATTTATATCAATCATGGCCGAATTGAATCGACTCAAAATTAAACGAATTTTTTTCAGATATTTTGGTAATAGTACAATTGCGGAGACCATTTCACTATTTAATTTGAAAATGAAAATAACAGAAAATCAAAGACAATTCGATAATTAAAAAGTAACAGCTTATAAACATAACCTAAAATGCATGAGAAAAAATTTGTCGATAAAATCAATATAGCCGAGCTTTTTATAAGGTAGATGGCAGCACTCATCTATTTTCTTTCTTTAAATTTTTTCTGAATCGTTTTTATAATAAGCAAAACTGCCATCTACCTTCTAACAAGCTCGGCTGTATTGATTTTATCGACAAATTTTTTCTCATGCATTTTAGGTTATGTTTATAAGCTGTCACTTTTTAATTATCGAATTGCACATTGTCTTTGATTTTCTGTTATTATTTTCATTTTCAAATTAAATAGTGAAATAGTCTCCGCAATTACACTATTACGAAAATAACTGAAAAAAATTCGTTTAATTTTGAGTCGATTCAATTCAATTTCCTTTATAATTTCGTTTTATTTTAAAATTAAAAATTTAATTATGTTAAATTCAATATAGTTAAATACTACACAAATTTATTTTTTAATAAATAATTAATTGTATTAAATTCTGCACAGTTAAATTCCACACCGTTAAACACTTCACAAATTTAACTTATAATAAAAAATTAAATTTGGTTAGACTCTTCACAATTAAATTGCATTCAGTTATACTTTACACAAATTTTTTTTATTATAAGCTTAGTTTGAATATAGAGGTTAACTGTATGCAATTTAATTGTACAAATTTTAATAAATTTTATTATCTATTATAAAATAAATTTGTGAATAGTTTAACAATGAGGAATTTAAATTGTGTATAGAATTTGAAAAAAAAATTAATTTTTCGTTACGAAATAAATTTGTGTAGAGTTTAACGATATGAAATTTAACTGTAAAATTTAAAAAATAAACTGTCCAGAATTTAACAAGAGTGCAGTTTAACTGTATAGAGTTTAAGAAATTTTATTTTCTATTTTATAAATTAAATTTGTAAAGAGTTCAACGGTGTGCAATAATTTTGTGTACAGTTTAAAGGTGTGGAATTTAACTTTGCAGAATTTTACGTCTAGCTTTTTTTAAAGCTGCAAAATTTAGATGTGTATAGTATTTAAACCGCCTCTCGAGGAAATTTTATTAAAAATTCATTTGTCCGAATGTTATCGTTTTGTTATTTATAACCTATTCTAATATATTCTACTCAGACGTTAAAGTTTTTGATAATTAAAAAAAAAAAAAAAATTGAATTAAAATTTTTTCTTCGTCAATTCTTACCTCAAGAATGGAGGGAACCACTTCTTGAAGACCATTATTTGCTGCTGATCCACTGAATGCACTGAGAAGGGTGACATTGTGACCTCTTGAAATCAATGTCGTACCAAGGGCAATAAAGGGGATCGTATGAGATTTTGTACCTCCCATTGTTGCCATTAAAATATTATAACTATCACACCATCGCACTACACCAAAAAAAAGTAAACCAACTGTCATTAAATAACTTGTCGACATTTTATTTTTCAATTAAATAATTAATTTCTTAAACGTTCACACTTTATTATTCAATTTCCGCTTTTTTTTTCAAAAGAAATCACTGATTACATTTTAATAGGAGTTTCATGTCGAGAGAAAAAACAAATCACTATATTTTCGTATAAAATAGAAAAAAATTTCAATAGATATCTAATTAAAGTGAAGAGCCCACTTTTTGGTGAACAACTTCAATGAACTCCGAGAGAGAACTGAGATGAGATGCTTTATAATCGTTTGTCTTGTAAAAAAAAAGAACTAAGCTTATTATATTTTTTGTGAATGTGTTAATGAAAAGTTATAGAAATTACACAAACACAAAGTTAAAAAGTCATTATAAATATGCAGGCCATTATTATTAAAATATCAAAGTCGTGTCATCCTCTGGGAAATCAATTCGTCACGAGATGGTGAGATTTCAATGCGACTGAAAAAGAACGAAACTGTGATTAATTATCGCATTTTCCAGACTAGGCGACATTGACAGGGATTTGCTTGAATTTGTTTTTTTTTCTTCTTCGCCTTCTTATACTCTTCTTTTATTTGTGGTTTCTTTTTTTTTTTTTTTTTTTTTTTTATTTTTCAAATAGAATTCTGGTTATTAACTGAATAACGTACTTCTTCAAAACAGGTTGATTTTGTATTGAAAGAGTTTTTTAAATGATGATGATGATATGTGATTTCAATTTTCCATTTGCCTCGCATATTATTCAGATTTTGTTATTTTCACAGCTTCCGTTAATGTATATACATTTTGTATATTTTAATTCTGTGTGGTTACTTTTGTTGACACTGTGTAAACGTCGCTCCACCGCGACTTCAAGTTTACCTACACTCTGTACTTTCACTAGCATCTCATCTGCACGCTTGTAAAATACATTGATCTCAATTATTTTCAGCGAGTTGATCTTGCTCTCAGCCTCGTTGACCAAAAAACATCTTTACCTGTGATGGAGAAAATTCTTATATCAATTCTTAATGTTGTAATTTATTATATAATTAAATAAATACTTTAAAATTCAAAATATTAAAATTTTTATGTTTTATACACTGAAAAAAAAAATGTTTATTTTATTCAAATACTCGATTACTTGATTATTATCAAATAAATATTTACTTGAATTAAATAAATTGTATTTGAACCAATAATTTCTGTATTTGAATATACCATTTAATTAATTCAAATAATAATTGATACAAATAATTATTTATTTGATAATAGTCAAGTAATCGTGTATTTGAATCAATTATATTTTTTTTCAGTGTATTTTAGTGGAAATTTTATTTGTTTTATAAATTATCTACAAAATTTAAATTTTCCTAATTTAATTGTCACAATAAATGGCGTAATTAATAGGGCTTAATTCTCACTTTGCCTAATTCTTTCTTGACCTAAATTTTACCTGCCTTAATTCTTGTATGACCTATAATGTTTATTTAACCAATTATCCGGTATCAGTTTAATAAAATCTTATGTAGATTAATCTACATTTGGCATAATATTCATTTATCTTAGTTTTTATCTACCCTAATTATTATTTGACCAAATTCTTATTTGGTCTAATCTTCATGTAATTTAATTCTTTTTTAAGCTATTCGTCACTTAACATTAATCTCATTTGGCTTAAACTTACTTGTAAGAAGTTAGCAACGCCATTTTGTATTTCAAAAAAAATAATTTTTGTGCCAATTTATATGTGCTTATAGTTCTGACTAGAATAAAATGATTATTTATCAAAATTTTAATTAAAAAAATATATTCTTAGACGTAAACATTGCAATAATTAAAAATTAAAAATTATTTTATTGACTTGAAACTTTAATAAATTTGTTGCCCTTATTCAAGAATTAACCGCAAGCAACTTACCAAATCAAAATTTTTAATTAGGTTATCAGAAAAAGAGAAGGTGCAAGATGAACCAAACAAGTTGCAGATAATTATTTTTGGTCTGAATATCTCGAGATGCAATTACTTTGTCATTGCACTTAACCCAAAAAAATATTTTTATTAATATACGGTGGATTTCACATAAAGAGATCGCAAGGTGTATATCTAAAGTTCTGAATGTTCAAATGTATGAAATTATTTTTTGATCAATAATTTTTTTGTTTAATTACAACTAGACAATGAAAAAATAAACAAATTTAGATGTGTCGGATGTTAAAGAGGTAATAGAAAAGAATTTTTGTTTCTTAATAGAGCCTATGTCAACAGAACAAAAAAAAGAATTGGTTACAAAATACAATAAACCCAAAGGCGTTAAAAAACAATGACGAACGAAAATAGAGAAACTCCAAGTAATTCTTGATTTCATAAAAAAAAAAATAATTAACATACATGAAAAATACTTTAAAATTGTCTATAATAATCTTTATATTCTTTCATTCTGTTCATACCGGAAGTTATTAGACGTATTTGCGTATGCTTTTCGTTTATTTTTAAAGATTTTGACAATTTATTTAATTTAATGTGATTAAATAATACATTGTATTAAAGAAAAACTTTCAAGACCTTTGACGTATCAAAATATGTAGAATTTATCTTTTGGTCAAATATTCAAATAAAAAATAAATACTATCAATCTCTCAACGTCATGTCAGAAGTGAAAAAAAATATTTAAAGAAAAATTCTTTTAACATTTCAACTTTAGACGGCTTTTGTATTTTCATTCTAAAGAAATATTTTGAATAAAATTAAATATAATTATAAGATTATTTAATGATATTACAAAGCAACTTTTTCCTATTGTGATAGAATGATATTTTCTTTAATAAAAGAAAAAAAATTAAAGTGGTATCTGTATTTATTACACGGACGTAGAATTTTTGAGCGTGACAACGTCTTTTTTTAATAAATTAAAATACATTTTATAAGATTTTTATTTAGTATTTATTTTGTACCTGAAAAAAAAATAAATTGTATTTGAACCAATAATTTTTGTATTTAAAACAAATATCATTTAATTGACTCATATTAAAATTATTTGATATAAATAAATAATTATTTGATAAAAATCAAGTAACCGATTATTGGAATAAAATATTTTTTTCAGTTTATAAAATTAGAATAAACCACAATTATGGATTTACTCTGTTCAAGAGTTGTGCCCAGATAATTATTATAATTCTTGAACAAAATATATCTATGATTGAGGTTATGTTTTGATATTATTTCGATGCAAAATTTCAGCATTTGGCAATCTTTAACCGGTCGGTAATATAGAAAGCTATAAAAAATTTCATTTCCAAATTTAACAGAAATAAGTGTGGCATTGAAATTAAATGAGACACATGAATATGTTCTATATAACATTAGTTAAAATTTTCATTTTATGATATTTCATTTGTCATAATAAATTTTTGAGTCGAATTTTTATTTGTTCGAATTAATATTTTGCAGAATTTTCATCAAACCGATTTTTTATATTACAGAATTTTTATTAACCGAAAATTATAAATATTCTGTAATATAGAAAATCGTTTTGATGAAAATTTTGCAAAATACTAATTCAAGAAAATTAAAATTCGGCTCAAAACTAATTATGACAAACGAAATTCCATAAAATGAAAATTCTAATTAATGATTTTTAGAACATACTCATGTGTCCTGATTAAACCTAAAATAATCAAATAACAAAAAAATTTTGAAAATATGACTTATATAGGTTTCGAGCTTTGACGTTCGATATGAACGCCAATTTTTCTTACTGACTTCCTAGACCTTGGAGTATAAATCGTTGTCTAAGTCAAAAAATTGTTATAATTTATTAATGCAAATATTTTGGAAAATATAAAAAAAAATTTAATTAATATTTTTTATACTTTTTTGTTAATGTTTAAAATAATTTTATCTGCTGTAAATTAAACAGTTTTTGTTCTTTAACTTAAAAAATAAAATTTTTTATCAATATAAATATTGCAAGCAATATTTTTGAGATAAAAAATTTGCATTGAATTCTTCATTAGAAGAAGTATTTTTTTAAAAACATTTTTTTTGTTATTACTTTGTTTATGTAATTATAATTATTTATTTAAAAATTGAAAATTTTTTTTAATTAAAGCTGCTTTAAATTGTCAAAGAATACGCATTTGCAATATAATATTCCTGCGCGCATATAATATTTATATGTTAATAAGTAAAAAGTTCAATCCCTATTATTTTCTGCGAGCTCATATTTTAGGAATTTGTAATCCTCATGTAGGGCAAAATATTTATTAAACTTTCAAGCTATACAATTTTCACTTTAAAAGATGAAATTTTAGGATTAAGGTTTACTATAGAATTGAGTGAAAAATTTAATTCCATTGATGAATATATAAATTTTTAAATTCTTCTCGTAAGGGAATAAAAAGTTAAGTAAAATTTATAAAATTTGAAAAATAAAATTTAATAAACAAAAATAAAGTTGAGATAAAAATGGTTTTAAACTAAATTTTAAATTAAATATTGTATAACAATTTATGAATTACAAAGTTTAAAATATTAAAAGTAATTTGATTTTTAAGAATTGTCATCGACAATATTTTTAAATGAGTCCAATTTATTAAATTTTGAGTTTGTTCTTTATGTCAATTTAGGAAGTAGAAGAATGTAGTCATAGGGCCCTCTTTTTTTCCTTTGTGTTCCCTGCATGCTTCCGCCATCTGACGGCGGCAGGACGTAATAAACCTGTCATTATATTATTTTTTTCGTTTTTCTAGTAAATTATTAATTGCAGAGGAAATTGGTAAAAACAAAAAAAATCCTTTTTTTAATATCTACAAATTCTATCAGATGAAATTTTTTCTTAAGTAAATATTTCTTGAAGAAAAGTTGAGTTTTTGTAATTTTGAATTTTCAAATCGACTTTTCTCAAAAACGGTTCCACGAAAGATTTTCATTTTTATTGAAAAATGATGTATTTATAATCTAGAATCGAAATCAAGAAGAAAATCCCAGAACCTTTAGATTAAATCGGTTTAAAAAGCCTGTGTCTATTCAATGGTGTAATCAAAGTTAGTTAATTATTTACTCCAATAAAATTTATACATGAAAAACAAAAAATGGTGCACTCATGACTACATTTTCTTAATTATTTTTTTAGAAATTTTTCTATTAAGTTTTTTTTTAAATAAAATATTTATACAATTACGCATTTTTACAACTTTTTAAAATAAATAAATCTATTAATAATATAGATAACAAATGGCTTTTCTTCAAGTTTGGAAAACTTAAATTTTATTTTCTTTGGATTACAATCCTATATCTTTTATGCATATAAGATTTGATAAAAAAAATCCCGTTATCGCGCACCACCCCTTGGACAATCCTTATAATTTGCAAATTTATACATTTTTTAAAATTTGTCTTATATTTTTAACTTAAGAATAAAGTTTTTAAACATAATTTTCATTTTTACCAAAATAGAATATCTTTTATTGAATCAAATGTATTACCTATTTGTAAATATTTTTTATATTATTATTTATTATTTTATTATTATCATTATTATTTTTTTATTATAATAATAATTATTATTATTATTAATGCAGTAAGATAAGATAAATATATATTCATTTTTTCTACACTTTTTAAGTTTTACTTAAACTTTTTTAAAAGTAAAGTTACTAGAAAAAAAATGATGAATGCTTTTAAAAATTTATATAAATCATTTATAAACTTATATGTATGCAGAGCATAAACGTGATTTACAATAAATAAAAAAAAACTAACAGAAACCGTAATATATACATCTTTTTATATATTCTCTTATTTAATTTGGTTGCTTTTATAACTTGAGCGACTAAAAATTCAAAAATATTCAACTTACTTTTTTAATTTTGCGGAAAATAAACTTCACTTGGAATAGCGAAAAATTTTATTAAAATAGTGAAATATTTAACTAAAACAATTAAAATTTTTTGCTATATTCTAGTGAAAGCTTTCATTGTTCCAGGTAAATCTTTTTTTCCATGAGTCAGTTAAAATTTAAATATTTTTTTTTATATTTAATGAGGTTAAGTATTTTGAATATTATTATTAATAATAATAGTAATATATAATAACTAATAATATTATTTAAATCAAATAAATTTTTTTTTTTTTTGGTGTCCTATATGTGAAATATAAAAGTCAAGTATCTCACTTTTGATCTATTTTATGCAGATAAATCCCATTATATGTTAATAGAAATTTTTTAATGGTTTTGATGTTTATATATGCTTTGAATATATATCTTTTCATTAATTTTTCACTTTATCACTTTTTCAATTAGCTGAGAGCAAATAAGATTTTCGATTAAATTTCTTGGATCCACTCCAAAAGAGTGGGATTTTTTTTTATTTTCTATTATTATCAAAAGAGAATTTAATTTGTATTATACAATATTATATAATGTTATAGAAAATAATAAAATAATAATAATAATAATAATAATAATAATAATAATAATAATAAAATTAAAATAATTATACTATAAAGTATAAGTATAAATATAAATTAAAATATATATCAAATAATATAAAAATACATCAAACAAAAAACATCTTTTAACTATAAACATTTTTTTGGCTTTCAAAATTCTTTTTAAAATAATAATAAAAGATACTTTGTAATTAAATAATTATCGATCTAAAAATTTGATAAAAATATTTTATGCCAGAGAAAATAATTATTGTATTAATTATTTTTTTTGTGAAATAGCTTTGAAGACTTTTATATTTGATTAACTTTTCCTTCTTTTAAACGCAAGAAAAATGTGTTTTTTTTTTTTTTTTTTTTTTTTTGCTTGTATATAGCAATTTCAGAATCAATTCTGTTACACTATCACTATAAAAAGTCATTATTATATAGAAGATAAAAGATGAAAGAAAGATAAAATTATCTCTCTCTCTATATATATATATAAGTTCTTTATTGAATTTCTAGATATAATGGAAAAGATGATCTAAAACAATAAAATTTAAATATAAAATATTTTTTATGACATTATATTATGCTTCTAATTTTATTTTGTATAAAAATAAATTTTTTGTAGATATATATAAAAAGAGGAACAAG